AGTTAGACAATAATAAGTTGGATTTAATTGATCTATTGTGATAATATAAACGTGTTTGATGCGTTAAACTGCGTTTAAATGGGAAACACGCTGTTAAAATCATAACGGGTATTGACGTTAGCATTGTTGCTAGTTTTTGTGAACTAAAGGGATAATTCACCCAAAAAAGAAAATTCTGTTATATAATCACTCATGTTTAAAACCTGAATATCTGAGTAGAAGATGGGGCAAAAGACAATTGTGGGGCTCCATTGACTTCCATAGTATGTGTTTTTTACATACAATTGAGGTCAATGGGGACCAGCAACTGTTTGGTGACCGAGTTTATTTTGTTTTTGGTGAAATATCACTTTAAATGTTTACAGATGTTTTTTTTTTACAATATACACTTTATCAACAATCTCAGTATTTGCACAAGGCGAAAATATCGTATTTTAACATTGAAACAAGCGGTGCCTATAAAGCTGCTTTAAAACATGTATTGTGAATCTAAACTAATTGAAAGTACAAAAGTGTACCATGTGACCCTGACTGACCCTAGAGTTTGTTTGTGTGTTAACAGGGCCGCGTCAGGACCAAGACAGTGAAGAAGGCCGCTCGGGTCGTGATTGAGAAGTACTACACCCGACTGGGCAATGACTTCCACATCAACAAGAGAGTGTGTGAGGAGATCGCCATCATCCCCAGCAAACCTCTGCGCAACAAGATCGCAGGGTGAGTAAAGTCCAGCATTTTAGACGCACGGATACTGACAACATGGCATCAATGCTTAGTGAGGCACTTTAAATGATCTTGGACTGCCAGGGAAAAACATGAATATGGTAGTCGAGGATCAACAATAAGCTTTAATTCTTCCCCCTAAAAAAGGGTTTGTTGGTGAGCAGCTTGGATTTGTCGATAAGAAATCTATAAAGTAAGCTGGTGAAATTCATGATGCCCTAAAATACCGTTAAAGTATGGTTACATTTTGCAGGTTGTCATTAAAGGAGTAGTTCTCTTTAAAAAAAAAAAAAAAAAAAAAGTTTGCCGATAATTTACTCACCCCCATGTCATCCAAGATGACCACGTCTTTCTTTCTTCAGTCGAAAAGAAAATAAGGTTTTTGATGAAAGCATTTCAGCATTTTCTCCACAATGGACTTTACTGGCCACCAAACTCTCCTGTTCGAACTCGTTTATCAAAATGAACTAATCTTTTTTGTGTCATTTGGTTCATTCAATGAACGAATTGACTCTGGAAAAGATTCGTTCATTTTGATCGAAGCATCACAGAACAGAGCAATGTGACCATTTGAGCTTATAAAACTTAAACTATTTTATTTATTTTTGAAACGACCAATCGTTTCGCTTGATTAGACCGTTATTCATCGTCTCGAATCGTTTAAAGCCCTTTGAACAGTTTGCACTGAAACTCTCATTTGGACCTTGAACCGTTTGGTTCCCATTGAAGTCCATTATATGGAGAAAAATCATGGAATGCTTTCATCAAAAACCTTCATTTCTTTTCGAATGAAGAAAGAAAGACATGGACATCTTGGATGACATGGGGGGTGAGTAAATTATCAGCAAAAGTTTTTTTTTTTTTTTTTTTTTGAGCTACTCCTTAAATGTGCCAATAGTCATTCCAAAGTGGTTCAGTATAGTGACAGGCCTAAAATAAATGAGTTTGGCTGAGTCTTGCATCAGTTTTATATTTATTCATGTCATGTAAAGATAATTAACTATTTCAAGCCCTCTTCAGAAATCATAAAATTCAGTCAGTGCCATTTGTCTTCAGCATACGTTAACGGTGGGTGTGTTTTATGGAGTTATTATAAATAACTTAATGCAATTTGGTATTACGATTATTTTAAGCACAGAAAGTGTTTGATATAGGCCTACATTATACATGTGCCTATATAATATCTTATAATGGATATATTGCTGTTAAATCCAGACATGAGACCGCCGAAACCAAGTCTTATCTTGTTTCTGCAGGTATGTGACCCACCTGATGAAGCGCATCCAGAGGGGTCCCGTCAGGGGCATCTCCATCAAACTGCAGGAGGAGGAGCGAGAGAGACGGGATAACTACGTCCCAGAGGTCAGTGACACCCATGTGACCTTACATGATAGCGAACATTCAGATCTGCGTTCTGATCCAGAGAGAGACGCGTCATGTATAGATGTGAATCAGTATCACTATTTCTGTCTTGCATTCATTCAAATCATCACAGAAGAACTGGGATAAAAGTTCATAGTTCAGATATAAACACTGATGTCTACAGTAGTGAGCAAAATAGAGCAAATCACCTTTTTAAAGTGACTTGACGCTTCAAATAAAGATTTAATCCTCAGGTTCTTGCTCGAAGAGCTGTTGTGTTCCTATAAACTGTTAACCCTTTATTTGCTTATGTAGTAGTGATTAGATTATTTTGCATGATACCTAAATTTCACAATGATCAACGTTGAGTAAGGACGTCATGAGCTTGTTCTCTTTGTTCTCAGGTCTCTGCTTTGGATCAGGAGATTATTGAGGTTGATCCAGATACAAAGGAAATGCTGAAGGCTTTCGTAAGTTGATTTTACCTTAATTTGTGTAGATGAGGTTTTACAGTGCTGTAACGGGTTAAATGTCCTGGAAACAACGAGCTGTTGATGTGAAATGTTTTTAGTGTTTGTATACAGACCTGAACCTACATTAACCCTTTCTCTCTCTCTCTCTCTCTCACTGCAGGACTTCGGGAACCTCCCCAATCTGCAGGTCACCCAGCCAACCATCGGCATGAACTTCAAAACACCCAGAGGAGTCTAACGTCATTTAGCTCATTAATAAACCCTGTTCGGAAGAACGACCTTGTGTTTGTCATTTTTGATATTCTCGTGATCATGTTCATCCTGCAGATCTGGCCTGTTATAATGCAGTAAACTCAAGTTGGTGTAAAAGCACAGTCTTGAAACAATACAACTGAATATGATTGAAAACGTTTACAAATGCTAAACTTTTAGCGTTGCATGAAAACCAGATGAAGTTGTAAAAATATACATTTTGGACATTTCCATTTATACCCATTATAGAATGATGGTTGACTCTCTTTCCCAGCGCCAGCGTTTGATTACTTTCATTAAACGAATGGCCTAAACAGCAGTGGTTCCCAACCACTCGATGAATTGCAGTTTAATTCACTTCCGTGTTGGCTTCAAGAAAGATACGGGGAGGTTGCCCCTTGCTTGAAACACTAATATGATTTATGTCTTTGAAAACTGTCCTTTTTTAATCCAATATATTAAGACTTTTATGGTGGGATCATCAAAATGATCTGTACAACTAAGCAAAAAAAAACAAAAAAAAAACCACATTCCTGAAGAATTCATTAGGCCTTATGTATATAGTTTTAAGCACATGAGTTTAATAATAGACATAAACAACATAATCTGATAAACTACACTGGGATGGTGACAAACTGTCATAATCTCATCTATTATCTTTTTTTTATTAACAGCACTGGAGTTTAAATCACTGGAGACATTAAATAGAGACCCAAACTTGACAGACTTTTATTAGTGGTCACTCTACAAGTTATAATGCTGTGTGTGTGTGTGTAGCACCTCCTGGTGGATTTGTTTTAAATAATAATAATGGCGCATTAAAAATAGTTTAACAACTACATCTAACAATTTAAAATGTTATGAAAGCATATCATTTGGTTGTATAATTAATATTTTACATCTGTTTGCTATATGTGATTTATATACTAAGCTGTCAATTCGTCGTATAAAAAATATTTAAAACACTTTTTTCGTTCAGTTCTACTCTATATCTTTCAGTTGCGTCTCCCTCACATTTATGGAAATGGCAGATCAGGGTTTTTTATGTGTATTAAAATGTATTACACATTTTACTGCATAAAGCGCAACATTTTATTACTAATCGCAATATTTACTCAATATTTACATATTTGTGTATGTCATATTTTCTGTTTCATGTATATTGTTTCATGTTTCATATGAGATTTAATATTGAAATTGTTGTTGAAAATCAAGTTACCCCCATGTAGTGTGACAACTTTTTTTTAAAGTCCCCGTGAAATCAAAATTGAACCTATTTACTTTGTTAGCGAACAATTAATCCGTGCAAGTGAATATATATTTAAAAAATGTTTTACCTTAGTAATCTTTAATCAAAATCTGAAAAGTTACTTCCGGTCTGGAACGGTTTCTTTTTCTGATGACGTAGGCTTCACAGTTTGGGTGGGGAAACGCTTAACCACTCCCCTCAAACCGTTAGTTTGCTATGAGCGAGAGATGGAGAGGAGGAGCGCTAGAGTAAAACCCTGCCCTCTGTTCAATATTCCGTTTCACTTGGAAATACGTCACTGCACTGGAGAAAAATCGTTTGCAACTTCCGGTTCACGGGGACTTATAAGTTATTTCAATTGACTACAATTACAATTTTAAGGGAGCGAAAACACTTACTTTGTCAAATTTTATATAAAAAGGATAGTGTTATAAATGTACATACTACACTAATATATATATATACATATAAACTTTGCAGGATGTATTAACCGTTACAATAACGCGTCATCACAGGTCAGTTAGTTCAGTTGAGAACGGTTGAGAACACTCTTATTTGTTAAAATTGAATGTGAGCTATGCTTTCTTATGTATTTATGTATTTAGTTTTGTTTTGATTGTTTATATTCTGTTATTATGTATGTTACCTTTTCTGCAATAAAAAAGAGAACGGTTGAGAACGAACATCCTCTTCTCGATCTACAGAGGGCGCTGTTGCTCTTATTATCACTAAGTGACTGTACTACACATGTCAAATATTATTTGTATCCTTAGTATTTTAATAATCGCATTGAAATAAGCAGTATTTACTTAGAACAGAAGATACAAATATATAAAACCCTGCAAGTCCAAGTACTCAAATATTCCGCCGTTTGTTGTACTTTGAACCTGAAAGGGTTAACCCGTGTAATTGGATCAATGGGCATAACGTTAATGCGAAGCCCCAGCATCTAATTTCATCCGTGAAGACTCTCAAGCGCCTGTTCAGGGCTATTGCTGGAATACACGTTATGAGTTGATGTTGATGATGGGCTTGTTTGTTAAAAACAACCTGTTGAAAGTGTTTCTCCATGATCCTGCCTCCTGGTAAATGTTTATGGGAGATATTATTTCGCCGCTCGGTTGCCATGGCAGAAGAAAGGGAAGGAGTCTGAAGCGAGCGGTGTCAACTTTTATTCACATGGCGTTTTTCTCGTTCTTGAACGCAGTCTGCATGTAAATGTAGTGGAGATAAGCAGCTTCACATCACATTCACAGTGAGGAGGAACTCCAGGACAGTTTGACGACGCGGGACATCGAGTGAATAACGGGAGAAGATCAAAACAACAACGAGTAAGTGGATTTCGATATTTCAGTAGGTTACTGTGGTATCACTATGGCGATTAAGCCACGAGTTATGCTTGTGAAGGGTTTCAAACCAGAATATAAGGCACGATAAACAAGGCAGCAACAAGTTTTGTAACATATTTATCTAGCGGAAAATGTGCTGTGTTCCAGTCGAAGTTTGTCCAACATCCGTTTCCTTTGACATTGAAGTCATACAATTTACAAACTCCTTAAAATGTGATGAGCCTTCAGTCTTTTGCTATTTGAAGAAAGTGGAAGACTGCTGATATTACATGTATTTTGAATAAAATGGGTGTCTTTTTAAAAATAAGCTCTTAAAACACCCTTGTTTAGTTTAATTTTCTTTATTAACAGTGGTTACACAGTATGCTAGTATTTTATATGTTCTGAATATACTAAATACAGGTAAATAAAATAATATTTTCCACTTTCTTCCCATTTTTTTATCATCACGTGTAACGTTAACGTTATTTCTCAAGCAATGCTGTTTTCTGTTTAAATTTGCATTCAACATTTTCATAGAAAAACGTTGGGTTAGAAAATTGTTGTTTGTGTTGGAAATGGAGCTAAAGCTATTTTGATATCATTTTCACAATAAATATGGACTTTTTTTTGGTCTCAAAACCAACCAATTGGATATAAAAGTGTGATTTCAAAAGTTGACAAAAAAATGTTGCCATTTATCATCACAACTTAAAATTTTGCGTTTTCTGTTGAGAACTCCAATTTCCAAATTGACTAAACTTAAGGCAGTGCAAACACCTACTTTTTAAGGGTTGGTTTACACAATAACGAACGATGTACTAAAAGCGTAAAAGTTTTTAATAAAAAACCAACCCGTTGCACATAAAAGTGGGACTTTAAAAGTTGAAGAAAACATTCTGGATGTAATCTCTCATATTGGGATTTGTACTGTTTGTGCCTGTCAGTGTCAAACCGGATCAAGGTTCAGGAGAAATCGTTTGTTTTGTCTTCTCACACCAGATTGCAGATGAATTGGAATAGCCTGTTCGAATATTTTTCTCAATATAGCCTAGTAACTTATTTTAGCAATTCAGCTACTTCTTCAATCCTCAAAGCGAATCCTCATTGTTATCTCATACTGTATCTCAGATGAAGGATGTTGGAGGGCCTGACTGGCCATGAGGAATGATCACGGCGCAGGTTGCTTTCGATAAAAAGTATTTGGAAAATGTCAAAGATTAGCCTGCGATGTTGCTGTGCTGTTTTGAATGAGGGCCAAGGGCTTCGTGCTCTTTAGTAATTGGGGTTCTGCACGTTTAGATGATCTGGTTCAGCTTTCTTTGTTGTTCTTATGCCTTATGTTGTATTTTATTGCTCGATTCAAACATGGAGAACCTTCATGGATGGCCACTGATCTTAAAGCCGGAATAGTTCCCCCAAAATGTACACATCCTCAAGCCATCCTAGGTGTATGACTGTCTTCTTTCAGCCAAACACAATCGGAGTTATATTATTAAATAATATCTTGGCTCTTCCAAGCTTTATAATGGTGTTGAATAGTTCCTGAGTTTTTAAAACTCCAAAAAATGGGGTTTGTAACTCACTCACATTGTATTAACTCACTTCCAGTTCAATCAACTTAAAATTTTAAGGCAACCAGGTTACTTACTTTTTTAAGTTAAACCAACAATATTTTTTTACAGTGTACACTGTTGATTTAAATGCTACATTTGGTATTACATTGGGTGTGAAAATGAATAGGCTTGAATTTAGTGCTGGACACCCAAAGCACAGGACAATAGAAACACCAGAATAAAAATATTCATGATTTTGAAGCTGAAAATACAGAATTATTTTAGACGAATATGCTTGCACTCTTCTGACTAGACTGACTAGATATGTGTAAAATAACGTAGGCCACTTTTTACTGGTAACAGACATTTGGCATTATCAGGACACACAAATATTCCCGCATTGCATTATTATACATTATATTTAACATTATTTATATATATATATATATTTATATATATGAAGAGTTCAGATGCAAAAGCCTCTAAGTGCCATTTGAAATTTTCTTCTAAAATGATAATTTTTATCAAGCTTGTAAATTTAAGTTCATAAATTTCACTTAAATGGCAATGAAGATTACCTATTAATTGTCATTTAAGTGAAATTACTGAACTTAAATATACAAGCTTGATAAAAATGGTCATTTTAGAAGAAAATTTCAAATGGCATTTAGAGGCTTTTGCATCTGAACTCTTCATATATATATATATATATATATATATATATATATATATTAGGGCTGTGCAAAAATTAATTGGGATTAATTCCATCCAAAATAAAAGTCTGTGTTTACATAATATATTTGTGTGTGCTCTATATAATTATTTTGAATTTATACCTATGCATGCATGTATATATTTAAGAATTATTTGCGCTTAAATTCTGTGTATATATATATATATATATATATATATATTAGTAGTTTAATGTAGTACTGACACTAAAACTCTAAACTATTTTTCTCACGCTGTAATTTTTGATTTTGAGTGAACTATCCGCAATTATCGCGATACATACCGGTATTGCCTTTTTGTATTGCGATATATTGTGATGCCCCTAGTGGCAATAGCAAACAAAAACATCTCTAGTGTTAATTTTGACCATGGCTTATCTTGAGAAGAAAAATGTAAAGACGCGCTGTGTGTGGAGCCGGTGTTTGTTTTTAATTTTGACAATCGTCGTAAGAGAAGTCGCAGAAGTTGAGGTAAAATATGATCGCAGTGGTCAATAATCGGTTGTTTATTAAAAATAGAGATCAAAGACTTCAGAATTTGACCCATGGATCAGAAGAATCTTTTAGGATTCTCAATTTTTCTCAGGCGGCCAAAATTGTTCAGTGTGAAGTGAACCCGAATTTAGATTAAACTCACTGGGGCAAACGGAGGAAACTATCTCTGTTGTTGTGTGTGGTGCTGGAGGACTTTGGGTGGAGAACAAAACTGCCTTTGTTTTCTTCATGCCTACACTGAGTGCACTGAGCCTCTGAGAGCAGGGCTATATTGAGCTGTCCTTAAGCCAAATTCAGGATTCTTTGACAGATCCGTGTTCCTGGGAAGATGTGTGGAAGGAAGGAAGGAAAACGTGGTTTCAAGTGAAAAATGAACACACAGGTGCCTGATCTTGTGGTGGTGTCATTTTGGTCTAAATAGACTATAAAAATTTACGTTAGTGTAATGGGTTTGATACAAGTTATTTTCTGATACGCCGTGTAAACATTCAGAAAAAATATTAAACAGGAAATGATTTCATAGAGACCCCGTTGTAAAATATGCAATGATGACTTTGATTCATTCAACGAGCGAAATGAATGAATTGACTCGGAAAATAGGGGTGTGACGGTACACAAAAATCACGGTTCGGTACGTACCTCGGTTTTAAAATCACGGTTCGGTGCGTTTTCGATAAAGCAGAAAGAAAGAAATGCCAGAGAAATGTCCTATTTGTTAAAAGAAAAATTATTTTTAAATAAGTTTGAGTATTCTTGAAACTTTCAGGTTTATAAGTCGTCGGAGTCTTCTTTGAAGGATGAACAAATAATGTTTTGGTCGTCACATTAAAAATAACATTTAAATATGTATAATATTTGAATTTTGAAGTGCTGGAAAAAGATGTGTGAAGATTGAAAGTATTTCACCATTCCAGCCAAACTGGTTACAGTTAGTTTTACTATATTTAATCCATGGTGAATGTTGCTGGTCTGTGGACGTAAAGTATTACTATCATTCACGGCACAATGTTTCTCCTGGTTTCCACGATTAATAACGGAGAAATGTGAATGCTTCTCACTAGATCTCGTAGCGATGTTATTACTTCAGTGGCGAATTCATCTCTTAGCGCTGTGTATAAAAGTTTCGCTTGATCGAGATTGGCTCGCACTGCACAGGTCCGAACTAACGATCCGTGAAGCACATAATGAGTAGCACAGTTTCATTACGGTTGCCATTTGATGTTGCGCATCGTTGTGTTGGCCGCGCCAGCACGGATTTTGTCGGCAGGAAAAATGGTCCAAGGAATTGTTCGGTTTGTACACGTACCGAACCCTCGAACCGAAACGGTTCAATACGAATACATGTACCGTTACACCACTATCGGAAAAAGATTAGTTTATTTTGATAAACGAGTTCGAACAGGAGAGTCACGAACGCGCATCACAGAACAGAGCAAGGTGAGCATTTGAGCTTATAAAACTTAAACTTAAAATGTGCGATCGTTTCTCTTGATAAGACCCTTATTCATCATCTGGAAACAGTTTGCACTGAAACTGTCTTTTGGACCTTGAACCGTTTGGTTCCCATTGAAGTCCATTATATGGAGAAAAATGCTGGAATGTTTTCATCAAAAACCTTAATTTCTTTTCGACTGAATAAAGAAAGACATGGACATCTTGGATCACATGGGAGTGAGTAAATTATCAGCAAAAGCTTTTTTTTTTTTAAAGTGAACTACTCCTTTAAGACCAGGAGGAGTAAGAAAAATACCATAGCTGACAATCACAAATTGTCAATACGTAATAATGCTGATATTTTTTTGTGTTAATATTGTTTAAAAAATGTCTCTAAGAATTATATTGGCCACCTTCTGTTTAGATTTTGTATATAAAGCCTGTATCGTTTTCTCACAGACTTTCTGAAACGAGCCTCAAGAAGAACGTTCGTTCACTAGTTCCATCGGTTTGCTTTTGTCAGTCACTCATTTATGAAATTAGGCCAAGGTTCCCCCCAGTAAAATAATCCACAGCTTCTGCTGGACATGTCCCATGAGCTGTAACAGTGGGCCTTTCACATTTGCCAGTGCTCCCAAATCTGTTAGGTTTCATAGTCCAACATTTTGGCTTTTAATAATTTGAAGAACAGCAGCCCATTACCCAGTCCTGCTTTATTCATCCAATAGAGAATGTGAATCTGCTAGAGCTACTGAACTATCCCAGTTTAGTTTACTTTGGTTTAGTGGGAGTGTTGGAGGCAGGCGAGGGCCTGATGAGGTGAGCGGTCGTTTGCTCGGGGTCTAATTAGACCAGCGTGCCTGAACCTGACAGCAGGAATGTGATCTATGTCATGGGTGATGTCACATTACAAATTCGGCTTGTTTTTGGAGAGGGAGCTTGTGCTCTACAGTCATGTTTTCAGCTCACTGTAGGTTAATAATATGGAGACATATGAATTATCTTGCTATAATCAAAAATATTCAACATGTAGCAACATTTCAAAATGTTCCCAGCCTATATGAAGAGTTCAGATGCAAAAGCCTCTAAATGCCATTTGAAATTTTCTTCTAAAATGACCATTTTTATCAAGCTTGTATATTTAAGTTCAGTAATTTCAGTTAAATAACAATTAATAGGTAATTATCATTGCCATTTAAGTGAAATCACTGAACTTACATCTACAAGCTTGATAAAAATGATCATTTTAGAAGAAAATTTCAAATGGCACTTAGAGGCTTTTGCATCTGAACTCTTCATATATTGGCTATATAATTAATTTTGCAGTGTCTAAAATTAATAGTTTTATAGATCACATTTGTTGGAAACTGTCGTTCACCATCAAAATGATTTATTTGGCCTAGTGTATTGTTGGTAAAGCAGTTATATTAATCTTTCAGTTTTTAAATTTATGTTATAAAGTGGTGAGAATACTATTCTAGATGCATCTGGTTATGTGTCGGTGAATTATTCTTTACATAAACAGTCTCTTTTTGGTAATGACGTGTTTAAATAGTTCACCCCAAAATGAAAATTATGCATGATTTACTCGCCCTCAAGCCATCCTAGGTGTTGGAGATTGGAGTTTTACGAAGCGAAGCGTTTTTTTCTGTAAGAAAAGTAAAGTTTTTTTTTTGTTTTGCTCGATCCTCTGCTCTTCCATGTTCGTCAGTACGTCATGTCGGGTCAGAGGTTAATCTTTCACCGGAACCAGGCTGTAATTAGTCAATATAGCTCGTAAAGATATAATTATTGATATTTGTCTTACAAAAACCCATCTCTTCGCTTCAGAAGGCCTTAAAGGAGTAGTTCACTTTTAAAAAAAAAAAAAAACGTTTGCTGATAATTTCCTCACCCCCATGTCATCCAAGATGTCCACGTCTTTCTTTCTTCAGTCAAAAAGAAATTAAGGTTTTTGATGAAAACATTCCAGGATTTTTCTCCATATAATGGACTTCAATGGGAACCAAACGGTTCAAGGTCCAAATGAGAGTTTCAGTGCAGCTTCAAAGGGCTTTAAACGATTCCAGACGATGAATAAGGGTCTTATCTAGCGAAACGATCGCTCATTTAAAAAGAAAATAACAAAGTTTAAGTTTTATAAGCTCAAATGATTGCCTTGCTCTGTTCTGTGATGCGTGTTATTTATTTATTAAATGAGCGATCGTTTCTCTTGATAAGACCCTTATTCATCGTCTGGTGTCTTTTAAAACCATTTGAAGCTGCATTGAAAGTGTCATTTGGACCTTGAACCGTTTGGTGCCCAGTAAAGTCCATTATATGGAGAGAAAAATCCTGTAATGTTTTAATCGAAAACCTTAATTTCTTTTCGACTGATGAAAGAAAGACATCTTGGATGACATGGGGGTGAGGAAATTATCAGCAAAAGTTTTTTTAAAAGTGAATTACTCCTTCAATCAACCCCCTATGGAGCACTTTTACGATGGATGGCTTGATGGAGTAAATTATTAGATAGTTTTCATTTTTAGGTGAACTAACCTTTTAAGTTGTTTATTGCAAGTGCATTACTGTAATATATTTCTGCCTGCCAGATTCCCTCCATTAAGCTTAGCTCGTATTGAACCCAGAACATTCCTCACATAAGGTGTTGACTTTCGCCTAGGTCAGGTTTGGGGCCAGTAGCACATAGCCGAGGCGTTTTCCAGTGTCCTCATGATTGCCTCTTCAGGTCTTCTATGTGTGGCATTTCACTCTTCATATCAGAATGTGCCACCTTCGAGTGCCCGGCTTTATATTAACCTTCTGCTTTCTTTACTCTCCTGTCGTCTTAAGTGGAGCCGGAGACTCTTTCAGCTGCTTACATCTTCTCTGGCTTACTAAAACCTAACATCTCCTTCCTCTCGCAGGGCCACCGAAGAGGCCGTGTCCTTGGGCAAAGCAACACTAATTTATAACATTCTCCTTTGCTTTTGGTAAGTTCCTCATTTTACACTTTGCATCTTGGTTTGCACATGTCATGCTGCATTTCTATGCCAGGTGTGAATTAGTGTGCATCTTTTTTAGTGGATTTTTTTTTTTTTTTATTGTTAACAAGACACGTTTTCGACACTATTTTACACAAGATTTACTCAAATCTTTATATGTTTGCAAGGCTGTCGGTAGATTTTTCAACTACCACAATGGCAAAGTCCCACTTCATTGACCAAAGTGGGCAGCGTTACTGTATATTCCAATGCACTAATCTCAAAATGGAAAAATATTATGTGATTAATCAGAATAGCTGAAATATAGGTCAGTAATAATGTCTTTGAGAGCATTTGAATGGCATGTTTTCCCTTAGGGAATAAGCTGGCCTTGCTGATTTATTTTCTATACATGTTGTTTGCTGGTTGCAGAGTAATAAGATCCTGTTGGAAAGAGTTTGCTTGGATTAATGGGCATTTTTGGAGTTGATATATTGTAGACGCTCTGTTGTCTTATACATTAATCAGATTAATGACTGCGAGTTTCCAACAGGGCTTACGAGAGCTTCCACCCCTCCTTCCCATGGCCTCATTCTGCTCAGACGAAAGCCATTGTTTCGTGGCTCAGTCTTTGGTTGCAGGTTATCCAGTGTTTGTCATTTATTTGCTGCCTTGTCCCACGACTCAAAGGTTTTCTTCCTGTGAGGCTGATATGCATTTATGCTGTTTGCGAAGGTGTGTGTGTGTGTCAGAGAGGCTGAGAGTCATACAAACAAATGCAACATGCCGCAAGTGGTATTTTTAAAGCCACATCTAACAGCTAGAGTAAATGCCCTTCTAATTGATTCCAAATGTGCTCCACTCCTCTACTTTTCGAGGGTTTTTACAGAGCGAATCTATTTCCAATGCCACTGTAAAAGTGTACAGTTGACCCCATAATAAACACTTTATTTTAAGATCTTTTTGATTAGTTTCGCCCCCCTTGTTGAACATGAAAATGGTGCACTTTTCCATACAAAGAAATTGAAGGATGCTGTCAAGCTAAAAAATACCCTAAAAACTAACCCTAACATATTTTGATGAGTCAAAGCAATGTAAAAACATATGTTGTCGTAAGTTATTGATTTTGCAGTGCACGCGCTAGAGTAGGGCTGAATAATCGACGATTAGTTGATTAATCGTTAGATTAATCGATTATCAAAATAATCGTTTGTTGCAGCCCTACGCCAGAGAGTAGAGAGTGATTGTTGATGGCTATCACACAATAGTCGTCTCCTTCTCTACTCGCATTCTCAAATTCAAAGCAGCAATCGAAAACTTGTGGTGAATATAATAAACATACATGCAAAAGTTCACTTCAAAATTGACTCACTGCTGAGTCGATGTGATCTTATGGCTAGCACTCCTTGCACGCGAGTTGTTGCAGGCGCATATCGACAGACACCTTGTCATGTGGGCATATTCCAGTGTTGTGACGATGCATCCCTAGAGAGCAACCTAATATAACTGCTGTTGTCTTTTTTTTTTTTTTTTTTAAAGAAGAGAAAATCACTCACTGCTCTAAGAATCATTGTAAATGTAATTCATATGGTGAACACAGACGGCAGGGTTTTAATTGACAGAAAAAAACGTACTATAAAGTTGAAATTTAGCTGTTGCGGTAGCTCTTAGTTCTCTTGTGCTTTTACGTATAGCCTGTTTAAACTCAATGTGTAATGAGACACCCAGGAACAAATTGTAAATCTGGCACAACATGATGTAGAGGGAAAGATTTTCAGTAAAAAACGTCTTAGCATTTGATTCTCTTCTGCATACAAAGCTATCGTAAGACATGATGTATCTGCAACATATGGACTACTTCTATGTTACTTGCTTTTTTAAATGCTTTTTTAAATATCGTAACAGCCTTTGAGTTGCGATTGTGTTTTATGGAAAAGAGCAGCACGAACATTCTTCAGAATATCTTCTGATTTGTTTAAGTAAACGCATACAGGTCTGACATGAAGATGCTTATTATTCATTTAAGAGGAGTACTCCACCCAAAAATGAAAATTCAGTCATCATTTACTCACTCACCCTCAATTTGTTTCAAATCTGTATGATTTTTTTTTTTTTACTATAGCCATTTTGGAACCCATTGACAAAAAACACCTTGTCATTCATGAAATTATGTTAAATTAAGTTTTGAATGTTCATATTTGAGTATCTGTTTAATAAAAAAAAAAATAGAGCAATCATCCATGCACAACACCCTAGCAACCACCCACAACACCTTAGAAGCAGCAATCAACCATGCACAGCACCCAAGCAAACACCCACAACACCCTGGCAGCGGCAATCAACCATGCACAACACCCTAGTAACCACCCACAACACCCTAGCAGCGGCAATCATCCTTACACAACACCCTAGCAACCACCCACAACACCCTAGCAGCGGCAATCAACCATGCACAACACTTTAGCAACCACCCACAACACCCTAGCAGCGGCAATCATCCTTACACAACACCCTAGCAACCACCCACAACACCCTAGCAGCGGCAATCAACCATGCACAACACCCTAGTAACCACCCACAACACCCTAGCAGCGGCAATCATCCTTACACAACACCCTAGCAACCACCCACAACACCCTAGCAGCGGCAATTAACCATGCACAACACTTTAGCAACCACCCACAACACCCTAGCAGCGGCAATCAACCATGCACAACACCCTAGCAACCAGCCACAACACCCTAGCAGCGGCAATCAACCATGTACAACACTTTAGCAACCACCCACAACACCCTAGCAGCGGCAATCAACCATGCACAACACCCTAGCAACCAGCCACAACACCCTAGCAGCGGCAATCAACCATGTACAACACATTAGCAACCACCCACAACACCCTAGCAGCGGCAATCAACCATGCACAACACCCTAGCAACCACCCACAACACCCTAGCAGCAGCAATCAACCATGTACAACACTTTAGCAACCACCCACAACACCCTAGCAGCGGCAATCAACCATGCACAACACCCTAGCAACCAGCCACAACACCCTAGCAGCGGCAATCAACCATGAACAACACCTTAGCAACCATCCACAATACCCTAGCAGCGGCAATCAACCATGCACAACACCCTAGCAACCACCTACAACACCTTAGAAGCAGCAATCAACCATGCACAACACCCTAGCAACAAGCCACAACACCCTAGCAGCGGCAATCAACCATGCACAACACCCTAGCAATGTACTAACAACTACTCGGCCTTAGCAAAACATTGTAACAGCCTAGCATTGTGGTGGTCAGACCAATTAAAAAATTCAAAGCAATCCACCTACATGCTGACATTCACTCGCAACAGCTTACCAACTGCCTGAGCACCTTAGCAACTGAATAGCAAAACCCTAGAGTATCCGTTTAATTAAAACGAAACAAAAAAATTAGTTACTATTTCTTTAAAACCTAAAGCATTATTTCTCCTGATCATCTTAAATATGGATGGGTTTAGTCACAGAATTTTTGTTCTTGTCGGCCAGTTGTGTGTGACTAAAGAAATGCTCTGTTTTGTAGTAATCAAGCTTGACAGACTTCAGCACTGATCTGGCAAAAACATCTAAACCGAGTCAACGACCTATGAAAAGTAAACTTCCCCAAAAGCAGGGCCCCTGACACTCTCAGCAACTTGTGCAACAAATTGTCAGAGGCGTTTATACAAATGGGAGTTCGGCACATCTGTCTCCTCTTGGGGAAGGGGGTTGCCCGGTTAAAGCTGTTGCACTAGATTACAAATAACATGCATGATCAGCCATCTGCTGCCGTCTATTTTTTGTCTGGGATGATCAGTACAAGAAACGTTCTATACCATAAAGCATTAAATCATTGCAGAATGCCGACATGCAATGAATTGTACATTTTAGACCAAAGCCCTTTCATCCCAATAATCCTGAGGATTTGGACGTGTTCTAGCACCAGGAAATCAAGTAAGTTCCAGCAACTTAACAAAGCTGGGTAGTTTTTGTCTTTGTTGTTAGTCATGGTCAATGTTAAAGTAATCAGGTTTCGAATATCACAAAGCTTTTGTCTTTTTATGCTCTGAAAGCAGATTTGGTATGCTAGTTTTCTAGGTATTTTGTCAGCAGTGGGAATCTGTTAAAACATTCGTGCCACGTTGCTCTGTACAGTGTTTCAAAGGTCATCAGACAAACTGTTACTTTAGCTCATACGTGAGTATATGGGAATGTTTACATCCTTTACTCTTCTTAACATTAAACTCTGCATTACTCATTCTGCACGTTTTATGCTGTGAACTTGAAAGACGCCTTCGATCGTATGGTTTATTTAAACCATTTAATGGTTTAAGAAGCACTGAGCATCCTAAGAAGCACTGAGAACAGCTTATCAAGTACCCACAACACCCTAGAAGTGCCAATCAACCATGCACAACACCCTAGCAACCACCCACAGCACCCTAGCAGTGCCGATCAACCATGCACAACACACTAGACACAAGCCACAGCACCCTAGCACTGCCTATCAACCATGCACAACACCCTAGCAACCATCCACAACACCCCAGCAGTGGCAATCAACCTTACACAACACCCTCGCAACCACCCACAACACCCTAGCAATCTCCCACAACACCCTAGCACCGGCAATCAACCTTACACAACACCCTAGCAACCACCCACAACACCCTAGAAGTGCCTATCAACCATGCACAACACCCTAGCAACCATTCACAACACCCTAGCAGTGGCAATCAACCTTACACAACACCCTCGCAACCACCCACAACACCCTAGAAGTGCCGATCAACCATGCGCAACACCCTAGCAGCAGCAGTCAACCATGCACAACAACCTAGCAACCACCCACAACACCCTAGCAGCGGCAATCAACCATGCACAACACCCTAACAACCGTCCACAACAACCTAGCAGTGGCAATCAACCTTACACAACACCCTAGCAACCAGCCACAGCACCCTAGCAGTGCGTATCAACC